GGGAACCGAACTCACGACCTTGCGCTTGCCAGGCAGGCGCTTTTTGCCGCTGAGCTAAATCCCCAGCCCCTGTGGTTATGTCTTGAGCAGTAGGAAATCTGTGAAGTACCTTAAGCAGGGGAGGTAATGCCATTATATTGTGGCACTGTGGAAAGCAGGCTGAAGGGACAAACTGGAAGGAGACAACAGCTTTTGCTAGGCTTTCTTGCCTTACCTCAGCGAAAATTCATTGGATCTGTGGGGTGGGTTGAGGTCAGGATTGGAAACTCACCAAGGTCGCACCACTAGTACACAATAAAGACCGATTGATTACTGGGCTTTCCTGTCCTCTTTCCATATGCTTCACCTCCTGGACACAGCATCAGAAGGCCCTTGCCATAGTCCAGATGTGAGGTGGTGAGCACCTGATTAGGGCGGAGATGAGAGAAGAAGCAAGGAGAGAACCCGCCAGAGAGATCTGTGACTGCTGTGTTGGGGAGAGAAGAAAGAAGACTGCTTCCATTGTGCTGGCTTGCTGACTGGGTGGGGGTGTCTGCCACTGACCAGCTAGGGATACTCCAGAAGAGCAGGTTCAGGGTGAAGTAGAGAGAATGATGTAGATGCTCTGACTGAATACGAGAGCAAGGCAGCAGAAGCAAGGTTATGGCTTGTAGTAACAGAGATAGACGTACAGATACATGGAGGTAACTAGCCCCAACCCCCAGACTGCATTGTGTGAGGCAAACGTGATAACCACTACATGACGGGAACCGCTTCCCCGAGACTGCATTGTGACAGCCAGAACAGCACGTGAACTCAGGGACGTCTGGAAATTATCTTCTAGGTTTGTTTGAAGAGATTGAACCAGAGAGCCAGGAAGGAAGAGAAGGGAATTGAGCTGGCCTATCTTGAGCAGCTTCATGGTCAGCATGAATCCTGGCTTGTTCACAAGACAACGAAGTAAGTGGAAAAAAGAGCAGCATCAGACAGAGACCTGCTTCCCAGTTGTTCAGAAGGGGAAGTTCAACATGCTGCCCTGGAAGGAAATGGTTGGTCGGAAATGTCCAACATTTTCCAATGCAGGAATTTTATACTAAATCTTAGATTCTATTTCCCTAGCCTTTCTTGTGACATTTCCTTAGATCGAACATCATGATTGATGATTGTGATAGTTGGCTCAGAATGAAGGGTAAAAAACTTTCGGAAACATCAGCTTTACAAAGTTGACATTCCTAGTTTCTTCCTGTCCTCTCTTCAGGTTTGAGAAATGGTTGGATCTCTGACCTTCAATATCAGACTCACCTGAGGAAATATCTCAACCTTCCTCTTTGAAGCCAACTTCATTGAATTATTGTTTTAAATTCTGCTTATGTAATTTATTGAGAAACCACATGACTTGAGATTTGTTGTCTGAATTACTAAAATTTGGTGAATATGTGAAGTGTGGCTCAAATTTTTTTTCCCTTTACCCAAATGTTTATAATGCTTACAGGCTCCACTTTGAGGCTCTGCTGAACATCCCAGTGCTGGTGTTGGATGTCAGTGATGACTTTGCTGAAGAAGTAACCAAACAGGAAGAACTCATCAGAAAAGTAGGAGGAACCTTAGCTCCTGCTTTCTAGTTTTGCTCTGTTGTGCCTTTCTCTCTCTGGTCCTTGCTTCCACATTCAATATATTAGGTCTTACGCTTTGCATCTCAAATTGCATTTCACACTCCAAAGCCTATGAGATCTTTCTTAAGTTACAAATATAATCCCTATTCTCTAAAGTATGTTGAATTAATAATTGTTGAATAATTGACTTGTAACATGTGGTTGCCAGCTGACTTCCTCCTCTAAGGCATTCTAAAATTAGGGAAATGAAACTTCTGGATTCTTTCCCCAGCTCTGCCACTTGTGCTGTATGACTCTAGGCAGTTCACATTTCTTCTCCAGCCCATTTTCCCTTCCTAACAAAAGCTCTTGGGACTAGATATATATACATCATGGGTGAACCACTGAGTAATCTGCTCAAAATGTGAAGTTTAATTTGGATTTTCTCTTTCCTGCAGGTAAACACCTTTGTGAAGAACCTGTAACCAGTACTAGGATGTTCTAGTGCCGATCAGGGCTCTTTGCTTTCTGCAACTCGAAATGTTGAGTATTCCACCCACCTTCCCATCCCCTTCATTTCCTTAAAGTACTCTGACGCTCAGGGGTGTAGTTCCTGCTCTCTTCAGACTTTGCTGTTCTCTTTTTTATATTATGTATGTCAAGGACTTTGAAAATAAAGCTGTCTTAAATTTTCCTCATTTTTCTAATCTAGTTATTGATTTATTTCAGGGTATAGCTATGGGTGCCTGCTCTGAACTCCCCACTAGACTAGGAATTTTCACCTGAGAAAAGTCTTAGCCTTTCTTCCTCTGGAGTCCTTTACCAACCCAACATCCCATGTATTCACTTGTTCCCTCTGACCTGCCAGGGCAGGAATTGCTCCCAGAGCTCTGAGCCAAGCCCTTCCATGCATGAAGAGGGAGCTGCAGCAGCTCAGGAGTGGGCAGGCATGCAAGTGTGAGCCCCTAGAACTGGGAAAGGGAGCCAGCCTCCAGGAAGTGGTACAGGGGATAGAGGTGAAGAATTTGGTCCTTTGCTCTGATGCTGGAGAGCTCGGTCAGAAGAAAGAAAGGGAGAGAACATCGAGAGCCTAAAAGTTCAGCATCTAACATTTAGGGTTGGCCATTCTGGCACTCTGACTTACTTCACCCAGTGAATTGCAGGTGACCTTTATGGAGTGAACATTTCTGCAAGGAAGGAAATAATTTTTGTGCTGCTTGTCAAGCTTCAAGGAGAATTTATTGTTAAGGAGGAAAAGGGTCCATAGAATTGAAGTGCGCCATTGCAGGAGGCCCATGGGCCCATGATTCACAAGGAGCGGACTTCCTGCGCTGAGCCCCCGACAGCTCCATAGGCACATGGGAAATGAAGGTGGGACTTAGTGTGCACTAAAAGACAGAAGAAATGTGTTTCTCTCCTTTATGCTTTGGGAAAATAGTGTGAGACTGCTTTCTAAAAAATAGGTGAAGTTTGGGAAAAGTTTAGCAGTTTTTTCCCCACTTTAAAAATTTTTTTATGACTTTATTGATATATAATTCATACACCACACTAATTCATTTCAAGTATACAATCCTATGGGTTTTAATATAATCATAGTATTACCATAGAACACTTATATCACTCCAAAAAGAAAGCCCATACCCTGTCCTCCCCCTCTTCCCAGCCCTACAAAACCACAAATCTCATTTCTCTCTCTACAGATTTACCTAATCTTGACATTTCATATAAATGGAATTAGGGATGGGGATTTAGCTCAGTGGCACAGCACCTGCCTGGCAAGTGCAAGGTCGTGAGTTCGATTCCCGGTACTGGAAAAAAAAAAAGCAGAGTCATATAAATGGAATTGTATACTATGTAGTCTTCTATGACTGACTGACTTAGCATAATATCTTCAAGGTTCATCTAGGTTACAATATGTATCAGTATTTTATTCACTTTTATAACATATCTTATGGGCAGTCCATATTTCTTTATCCATTGATTAGGATCTACTATTTTTATTACAGCCATTCTAATGGATGTGGGATGGTATCTCATTGGGAGGTTTTGATGCACATTCTTTTGATGGTGAATGACGTTGAACATGTTTATGTACTTATTGATCATTTGTGTACCTTATTTGAGAAAGTACCTGTTCAACCCCTTTGCTCTTTTTCAGTGAGGGTATTTGGCTTTTAATTGTCGAGTTATGAGAGTTCTTCAGATATTCTGATATATTCCTTATCAGATATACATAGGATTTATGGGTATTTCTCCCTTGTGAGTTACCTCTTTTCCCTTCTCCCTCTCTATTCCTTTCCCCCTCCTTTCTCCTCCTCCTCCTTCCCCCTCCTTCTCCTGACAAAAGGCTGGCCTTTTCCTCTGTTAGAACTTGTCATCTTGTGGACAGGATGATAGACACCAAACAAGAAGTTGCAGGTGTCACCATTTTAAAAGAACTACAGGGAGACAGAAGGTATACAACAGGAGGAGGCAGTATAACCTGGAACACTTCCCCGCACACACATCAGGAAAATGACAGCTATTCTGAATTCTGAAGAATAAATGGGGGAAATATTCAGGCATAGCCCCCATAGGAAAATGAAGCATTAGGCCCAGGTTGTGAAAGCAGGTGGTGGTGATAAATTTATAATTTTAGAATATACTCCTCTCACATTTTCATTCTGAAAGCCTGAATATCTATAAAGTCAGCATTTCTTTCCATCTATAAATAGTACCTTTTTTTTAAAGACAGGGTCTTCCTTTGTAGTGCACAGTGGCCTTGAAGTCACTCTGTAGCTCAGGCTGGACTCAAACTCACAGCAATCCTCTTGCCTCAGCCTCGCGAGTGCTGGGATTATAGGTGTGCACCATCCTGCCTAGTTTAACAGAGCAAACAGCACTCTCACCTCTGTGAAATAATTCATCATGTTGCAAAGCGGTTGCTGAGAGCAATAATTTTGAACCTTAAGCATGGAAGAGAGGGAAAGATTTCAGTGATACCTTTAAATGTGGGGGTTAGGGCCTCAGGGTGAAACGTTTGGGCCCCTGGGATATTGAAAAGGGATCCTTGGTGACTGGAAGTTACTCGAGAAGTGACAGGATCTGCAAAGTATTTTGCGTAAAATGGTCTCCATTCTGTCAGGCCAGCCCCTGGGGTTATCCTCACTCTTGGCTTGGGCAGTCCCCAGAGCAAGTAACGTGGGTTAACACATAAAATTAGCTGCATGTCTTTCTGGTTTACAGTGTGGTAAAACCTGCTGTTCTAGAACCTGAATATTACCTTCATGGGTTTATAACGTGGATCAAGGTTGTGAAAGTTCTAAGTGAGGGAGAAGGTGTAGTTTCAGGTGAAAGAGGCTGTTAAATGCAAATGCTAGACTCACTGGGGAAAATGAAACAAAAATGACGTGCACTTTAAAGTGTAGATTCTGTTTAACCTCCTTCAGCCTTTAATTGGTAATCAGTTTAAGTTCTCTGGCCCACTTTCTCCCTAGACCCTTTGCCACTCGGTGCCTCCCTTTCTGTCTCCTGGGCTGACACCTTTTTCTCCTTTCCTTTCGTGCTGCTATCCCCCGCCCCCAGCATCCTTGGCTCATTTCTGTCTTTAGGACCAGTACCTCTGGGTGATTGTGTCACCTTTCTGTCTCTGTCACAAAATACCTAAGAGAAATGATTTAAAAGAAGAAAAGGGGGCCGGGGATATAGCTCAGCGGCACAGGCGCCTGCCTGGCAAGCACAAGGTCCTGAGTTCAATTCCTGGTACCAATAAAAGAAGAAGAAAAGGTTTACTTTGGCTCTAGTTTCAGTCCATGGTTACTTAGTTCCATTGTTTCTAGTCCTGCAAGGAGGTAGAACATCAGGGCAGATGGTGAAGGAAGATAATAAATGGCAGCCAGGAAGCAAGAAAAAGGTGATAGGCAGGACGTAGCCTTGGAGGCCATTCTTCCAAGGACCTACTTCCTCAAGCTCAGCCCCACCTCCTAGTCACAGCCCTTATGATCCTATCGCCTTCCAAAGGCCCCACCTCTGAACATTCCCTGATGCATTTGGAACCAAGCTTTGAACTAACACATGGGCGTCTGGGGGGACATTTTAGATCCAAACTGTAACAGTGATATTATATTCATTTTCTGTTGTGATATCAGATCACCACAAACAGAGTGGCGTAAAGCAGTACAAATTTACTATCTTTCAGCTCTGTAGTTCGGAACTCTGACATGGATCTCACTGTGCCAAAATGAAGTTATCTACAGAGCTGAGGAGAGTCCATTTCTTTGCCTTGCCTGTCCTCTAGAGGCTGTGTTCCTTTGGCTTATGACCCACTGGTCTTCAAAGCCAGTAATGGTGCGTATCCCTCAACAGCTGGAAGAGTTTCTCTGCTTTTAGGGACCACATGAAAACATCGGGTCCTCCTGAGTAATCCCCCCTGTCTAATCCCATCTCGAGAAGTGAGATGCATGCCAGATGCATTCCAGATTCTTTAGCCTTAACTGTATCTATGAAGCCCATTTTGTTATGTAAGGCAATGGTATTTGAAGGTTCCTAGGATTGGGATATAGACATCTTAAGTGGGGAAGGGTGCTATCATTGGTGCCTTCCACAAATCTCAGCTACTGTCTTGCTCTTACTGTTAGCATGGAGTGAAGCCTTTTTAAAAACTTAATGTTGTGAAAGGCATAAATCCTATGCAGCAACTGAGGAGTTCATGTATGCCCAAAACCCCCATTCTAGCCCAGACCCAGGTTCATTTCCTTAGAAACTACAAAGTTAAGACAAAGGTTGAATATTCAGCCAGGTGTGATGGCACACACCTGTAATCCCAGCACTTGGGCGGCTAAAGCAGGAGGATCACTGTGAGTTTGAGGTCAGTCTGGGCTACATCATGAGTTCAAAGCCAGCTTGAACTACATAGTAAGGCCCTGTCTCAAAAAACCAAACAAAAAAAATGGAATACTGTGTCCAGAAGCTCCTTCTCCAAGGCTCTGAACTGCATTGAAAGTCAAGACACTTCTCCGTGTCAAAGTGACATGGGTCCTCTTGTAATGTTTCATTTTAACTGATAAAATTTCAAACAGTCACGTTTGATAGTCTCTCATGTTAGAGGACAAGGTCTCCCGGTAAGTGAGAAAACTAGTCACACAAAGAATGGGTGATTGAGACACTTTACAGCTACTATGTACCTGGGGAAAATTCCATTTCATGGTAACTTCACAGCTGGTTCTACCTGTGTCTGTCCCCACAGCCTAATGAATGACAGGGCAGCTTTTACCTTTCTTCGTATGAGCTAATTCTTAGTTTTTCACCCACTTCAGTTATCTACTCATAACCACTCTTGATTCATCTAGAGCCTACCTCCCACACTGATTATTTTGAAGTAAGTCCCAAAGTAGAGGATAACCTTTAAAGCTAGAGACTTGCAGAACTCTATATATATTGCTTGGATCCCTTAATGCTAATGTACAAAACAGTTCTCATCCCCACGCATATGCCCCCCACCACCCCCACCTCACGCCAGCCAACAAAACCCATTTCCCTGCTTTTCAGTCTATCCAGTTGGCCACGTCAGCAGCTTGAAGCCCTCTTTGCGCCTTCTTTGCTCCTCCTGCTTATACCTATTCTCACCAAATTCTGCCTGCTTACCTCTGAAATCCCTCGAATACTCTCTGTACCCTAAATGCTTTCTGTAATTAAAGGTGTATTAGACATAATGGACTCC